CCCTGGGCCCTGGTGACTGTTACTGTTAGTGCCAGGGGGGGTCCCTGGGCCCTGGTGACTGTTACTGTTAGTGCCAGGGGGGGTCCCTGGGCCCTGATGACTGTTACTGTTAGTGCCAGGGAGTCCCTGGGCCCTGGTGACTGTTGCTGTTAGTGCCAGGGGGTCCCTGGGCCCTGGTGACTGTTACTGTTAGTGCAGGGGGGGGGTCCCTGGGCCCTGGTGACTGTTACTGTTAGTGCCAGGGGGTCCCTGGGCCCTGGTGACTGTTACTGTTAGTGCCAGGGGGGGTCCCTGGGCCTTGCTGTCTGTTACTGTTAGTGCCAGGGGGTCCCTGTCCCTGGTGACTGTTACTGTTAGTGCCAGGGGGTCCCTGGGCCCTGGTGACTGTTACTGTTAGTGCCAGGGGGGGTCCCTAGGCCCTGGTGACTGTTACTGTTAGTGCCAGGGGGTCCCTGGGCCCTGGTGACTGTTACTGTTAGTGCCAGGGGGGTCCCTGGTGACTGTTACTGTTAGTGCCAGGGGGGTCCCTGGTGACTGTTACTGTTAGTGCCAGGGGGTCCCTGGGCCCTGGTGACTGTTACTGTTAGTGCCAGGGGTCCCTGGGCCCTGGTGACTGTTACTGTTAGTGCCAGGGGGTCCCTGGGCCCTGGTGACTGTGAGGGAATTATGTAAATGTGTACATCAGATAGTGGATCATCACCACCATGACGGCTGGTGTGGTGGTGAGGGGGGCGGTGCTTGTCACCCTGGGACACTTCTGGGACACTCCTGGGACACTCCTGGGACTCCCCAATCACCTGCCTGTCTGTGCGTTTATTGGCCGCGGGGCTCATTAGTTTCCGCTGATCAGCGACATTTATTTCGTCATTAGGCTTCGCAATTCACCCTTCAAGGGTATGGGTATGGGTATGGGTATGGGTATGGGTATGCCCGGGGGCATGAGATCCCACCATCGTCGTCACCCCTCAGTCATCAACAACAACTACACATTCCATGAAGTTCAAACTGTTTATTTGCAGGTGTTTAACACCCGTGGATGTGAATGGTGGTGTCAACTCCACATAAAAGATGTATGCACATACAAGAGTGAGAAGAGTGTGTGGTCACCGCCGCCACACTCCCTCACACACACGTGTCCACACACACACGTGTACACTACTCCTCCACACACACACGTGTACACTACCCCTCCACACACACACGTGTACACTACTCCTCCACACACACACGTGTACACTACTCCTCCACACACACACGTGTACACTACTCCACACACACACGTGTACACTACCCCTCCACACACACACGTGTACACTACTCCTCCACACACACACGTGTACACTACTACACACCGTGTACACACACACACACACGTGTACACTACTCCTCCACACACACACGTGTACACTACTCCTCCACACACACACGTGTACACTACCCCTCCACACACACACGTGTACACTACTCCTCCACACACACACACGTGTACACTACTCCTCCACACACACACGTGTACACTACCCCTACACACACACACGTGTACACTACTCCTCCACACACACACGTGTACACTACTCCTCCACACACACACACGTGTACACTACTCCTCCACACACACACGTGTACACTACTCCTCCACACACACACGTGTACACTACTCCTCCACACACACACACGTGTACACTACTCCTACACACACACACGTGTACACACACACACACACGTGTACACTACTCCTCCACACACACACACGTGTACACTACTCCTCCACACACACACGTGTACACTACCCCTCCACACACACACGTGTACACTACTCCTCCACACACACACACGTGTACACTACGTGTACACTACTCCTCCACACACACACACGTGTACACTACTACTCCTCCACACACACACGTGTACACTACTCCTCCACACACACACACGTGTACACTACTCCTCCACACACACACGTGTACACTACACACACACGTGTACACTACTCCTCCACACACACACACGTGTACACTACTCCTCCACACACACACACGTGTACACTACTCCTCCACACACACACGTGTACACTACTCCTCCACACACACACGTGTACACTACTCCTCCACACACACACGTGTACACTACTCCTCCACACACACACGTGTACACTACTCCTCCACACACACACACGTGTACACTACTCCTCCACACACACACGTGTACACTACTCCTCCACACACACACAGGTGTACACTACTCCTCCACACACACACGTGTACACTACTCCTCCACACACACACGTGTACACATACTCCTCCACACACACACGTGTACACTACTCCTCCACACACACACAGGTGTACACTACCCCTCCACACACACACGTGTACACTACCCCTCCACACACACACAGGTGTACACTACCCCTCCACACACACACGTGTACACTACTCCTCCACACACACACGTGTACACTACTCCTCCACACACACACGTGTACACTACTCCTCCACACACACACGTGTACACTACTCCTCCACACACACACGTGTACACTACTCCTCCACACACACACGTGTACACTACTCCTCCACACACACACGTGTACAATACTCCTCCACACACACACGTGTACACTACTCCTCCACACACACACGTGTACACTACTCCTCCACACACACACGTGTACACTACTCCTCCACACACACACGTGTACACTACTCCTCCACACACACAGGTGTACAATACCCCTCAACACACACACACACATAAGGACACACACCTCGGATGTACAGGCTGTTGAATTCCAGCTGTTTTATATCCGTGGTCCTGAATGGTTGTGTAAACTACATATTAATGTGTGTAAACACCAAGCCACCGTATTTGGAGTGATATAAATGTGTCTTCGCTTAAAACTGTGAGAGGTGTGTGGACACCGACGCCACAGCATCGACGCCACAGCACCGACGCCACAGCACCGACGCCACAGCACCTTCGCCACAGCACCGACGCCACAGCACCGACACCACAGCATAAACGCCACAGCACTCGCACAGCACCTTCGCCACAGCACCGACGCCACAGCACCTTCGCCACAGCACCGACGCCACAGCACCGACGCCACAGCACCGACGCCACAGCATCGACGCCACAGCACCGACGCCACAGCACCTTCGCCACAGCACCGACGCCACAGCACCGACGCCACAGCACCGACGCCACCACAGCACCGACGCCACAGCACCTTCGCCACAGTACCGACGCCACAGCACCGACGCCACAGCACCGACACCACAGCATAAACGCCACAGCACTCGCACAGCACCTTCGCCACAGCACCGACGCCACAGCACCTTCGCCACGCACCGACGCCACAGCACCGACGCCACAGCACCGACGCCACAGCATCGACGCCACAGCACCGACGCCACAGCACCTTCGCCACAGCACCGACGCCACAGCACCGACGCCACAGCACCGACGCCACAGCACCTTCGCCACAGCACCGACGCCACAGCACCTTCGCCACAGTACCGACGCCACAGCACCGACGCCACAGCACCGACGCCACAGCACCGACACCACAGCACCTTCGCCACAGCACCGACGCCACAGCACCGACGCCACAGCACCGACGCCACAGCACCGACCCCACAGCACCGTCGCCACAGCACCGACGCCACAGCAAAGACCCCACAGCACCGACCACACATCACCGACGCCACAGCACCGACGCCACAGCACCGACCCCACAGCACCGACGCCACAGCACCTTCGCCGCAGCACCGACGCCGCAGCACCGACGCCACAGCACCGACACCACAGCACCGACGCCACAGCACCTTCGCCGCAGCACCGACGCCGCAGCACCGACGCCACAGCACCGACGCCACAGCACCGACGCCACAGCACCGACGCCACAGCACCGACGCCACAGCACCGACCCCACAGCACCGACGCCACAGCACCGTCGCCACAGCACCGACGCCACAGCACCGACGCCACAGCACCGACGCCACAGCACCGACGCCACAGTATCGACGCCACAGCACCGACGCCACAGCACCGACCCCACAACACTGACCCTACAGCACCGACCCCACAGCACCGACGCCACAGCACCGACGCCACAGCACCCACGCCACAGCACCCACGCCACAGCACCCACGCCACAGCACCCACGCCACAGAACCCACGCCACAGCACCCACGCCACAGCACCCACGCCACAGCATCGACGCCACAGCATCAACGCCACAGCAACCACGCCACAGCACCCACGCCACAGCACCCACGCCACAGCACCCACGCCACAGCATCGACGCCACAGCATCGACACCACAGCACCCACGCCACAGCACCCACGCCACAGCACCCACGCCACAGACTCACACAGAGTAAACAATACTATACCACCACAGCAACACACTGGATTAAAGTGCTATAAGTGTGTGTTGCCATAAGTTGTGAGTGTATGTGAGCAACACCTGACGCCTGAAGACACACGCTGACACAGTGTAGACAACACCACCTCAACATCAGTAGTGGACAACACCACCTCAACATCAGTAGTGGACAACACCACCTCAACATCAGTAGTGGACCCACCACCTCAACATCAGTAGTGGACAACACCACCTCAACATCAGTAGTGGACAACACCACCTCAACATCAGTAGTGGACAACACTACCTCAACATCAGTAGTGGACAACACCACCTCAACATCAGTATGGACAACACCACACATCAGTAGTGGACAACAACACCTCAACATCAGTAGTGGACAACACCACCTCAACATCAGTAGTGCTCAACATCAGTAGTGGACAACACTACCTATCAAGTGTCAGTAGTGGACAACACACCTCAACATCAGTTGTGAGTGACACCACCACCTCAACATCAGTAGTGGACAACACTACCTCACATCAGTAGTGGACAACACCACCTCAACATCAGTAGTGGACAACACCACCTCAACATCAGTAGTGGACACACTACTCAACATCAGTAGTGGACAACACCACCTCAACATCAGTAGTGGACAACACCACCTCAACATCAGTAGTGGACAACACCACCTCAACATCAGTAGTGGACAACACCACCTCAACATCAGTAGTGGACAACACCACCTCAACATCAGTAGTGGACAACACTACCTCAACATCAGTAGTGGACAACACCACCTCAACATCAGTAGTGGACACCACCACCTCAACATCAGTAGTGGACAACACCACCTCAACATCAGTAGTGGACAACACCACCTCAACATCAGTAGTGGACAACACCACCTCAACATCAGTAGTGGACAACACCACCTCAACATCAGTAGTGGACACCACCACCTCAACATCAGTAGTGGACAACACCACCTCAACATCAGTAGTGGACAACACCACCTCAACATCAGTAGTGGACAACACCACCTCAACATCAGTAGTGGACAACACCACCACCTCAACATCAGTAGTGGACAACACCACCTCAACATCAGTAGTGGACAACACCACCTCAACATCAGTAGTGGACACCACCACCTCAACATCAGTAGTGGACAACACTACACACTGGCCCAACAAGACGGTTATATCTTAGTACAATAACATAGTTCATTTACTCAGCTCCATACCTGCAGCTGAGTAAAATAAGGAAGGTTGGTGGTGTATATACAGATTAGAACCAATTTTTGGTGCCACTAATCCCATATATTACAGGTACGGATATACCATGACCTTACCAGCTCACTTCAGTAAGTAAAGTACTTGCCACTAAAATAAAAATATATTATGTTAATCAATATTTAACAAATATTTTATGTATATTGCAATTGCTTAAGACAAATTGAAGTATACATTTGCAATAGATAAATTCATAGAATATAGAATTCAATACTCTGCAGACGAGGAATCACAATAACGGGGCTGAAATATGTTGACCAGACCACACACTAGAAGGTGAAGGAACGACGATGTTTCGGTCCGTCCTGGACCATTCTCACACTCGACTTGACAATGGTCCAGGACGAACCGAAACGTCGTCGTCCCTACACTTTCTATTGTGTGGTTTGGTCAACATTAAATAATCTTATCATTGTTTATAATATAATACATATGTGGCAAGAGACCAGATCAAAAGGATAGACTAAAATAATTTGTAACCATATCAGTGGTGCGGCATAATACATATTACTTCTTCCCCAAGTGGTAAACTGGTGATTTCTCCTCCAACAGGTAAATGACAGCTGCACCATCTTGTTGGGTCACGCTGAGTCTGAGCCACCTGGGGAACACAGAGAATACATGTAGTCCACTACGCCACGGAGAGGGCATCAGTGTTGCCAGTGGTCACTGGATGTGACGACTGTCACTGTAGACAGCTAAGTGGCTGTTATGTTGGTAGTTCCTTATTATAGGGCGTCAGAAAATTACAAACCCCACAATCTCTTCTATAAATCAACATCAGTTTCTAAACCAGTATTTACCCAGGTCATTCTTAAATCTAAACTTATTCAATTTGTATAAATTGTTTCGGATACATCAATATTCATCTGTTCCTAAGTCACACACAAAAATCAAATTTCATTGTAAATTTCAATTTCAATTTCATATATTTTATCTGCAGTAGAAGTGAAAGTTATATAAAGAAGAGCATATCTGAGCATACCCATGATGGGGACGGGCTCCTCCCTCATAAAACAAATAATTTTTGTGTCGATAAACGATGACTGGAAATTGTGTTGTAAAGGGGGTCTAAATTTAGCAGCGGTGGTTGGCAGAGACATTGTCTACCCATCAGGAGAGGCTATTCCTGCCCGACATTTTCTTAATGTACCTCTTTTTTGTCAATTAGTAACGAGCCTTCATCAACACGGTTCGTATTTTGTAATTAATGTTGTATACGTTGGTCACTGAGGGAGACGAGTGTGTGAGGTAAGACTTCCTCCACCGCTGCCCCACAACCACTACACTACTCTACACCGGACTTGTGCTGGGTGTCCTCTGTTACCTATCGTACGTTACGGCTCGTGATCCTACAGCAGCCAAACTTTAATAAGTCTAGGGATACGACACAACTGCTGTTCTCAATAGCGAATCACCAGTATAACCCCTTGAATTGGTAATGAGCATAAATAGAATCTTCGTTTAGGACTGAAGAATAGATACACAATATGATAGCTATATATTCAAAACAGTATAATATAAAAACACAGATGGTAAAGTTAACTTATAGAATATGATTGTATAGTCATGTCACAATATATATAATAGTAATTATGGCAATAAAATGAATAATAATAGACTTATCTCCCACTTGTTACTCCTCCCAGTTCCCGAAGCTACTGAACTCTCGCTCTGTCGCCACCCACATTCACACCTCCCGTCTGCCTCATCCCAGGATGAGGGATGGAAACTAAGGACTTTTTAATATTATAAACTAATTGAACAACCACTTGTTCTCAAAACACATAAGACTGCAAGTTACATATAATAGTTACTTACAAAATATATAAGTATAATGACACCTGTTTAATTATAGTATATGAAACAATTTCTAACTAAATAAAAGTGACATCTGGAACTCTCAAACTGAACAGGTCCAGCTTTCCCGTATCAAACAAGTAATAGACGTGTGCAGAGACAACCGCTCTCCTGTCCACTGACGCTGCCAAACCACACGACAATTTACCCAAAACACAATGTGTGTACATATACATGCAATGATAAAATAAAATAATATTTATTTTAAATTTATATACGTATTCTGCTAGGAGTACGTAACACTTCCACCTCCAAGAAAAAAATGCAATAGATTGAAGATCAATGGCATTTTTTCAAAGTAAAATGTATGACACTTGAGATTTATGGTATTAATTACACCAAACATGTATAAGTAATAAGAACACATTTCTGGACAAATATGAAAACACTCCAAATATAGTTTTACAGGAAACTCAGAAATTTCAGTCTTATGACTATGTTCTACATATGTGTCACTGGAGTATGCAAATTTATCTCTCCAAGGTACTATCTCATTTATTTCACTTTGTTTTAGATCATATTTCACACTCCTATCTACAACAGTATCATTAGTAGCATGAATAGAATTGTCAATAAAGGTAGCTGCTTTCACACAGTTATCATGGCAATTTTGCTTTTCATATGTTTCTACTATTTCTCCAAGATCAGTTTCATTTTTCCATGTGATTCCTTTTTCACATGGTGAATTTTCCCAAGACAGCCTCGATTTTCCATTACTCCCTTTTTCTGGAGCTGAACTGCTTAATTGAAGCAGGCTGTATGTTGAGTTGAGTTGGAACTTCTCCTGGGTATGCTCTGACACAGACATCTGCTCATCATCACTCTTGATCCTCTGTGGAACACATACTCTCGCCCAATGGATACTAAAATTAGAGAAAGTAGCATTAAATCTCACAATTATGCATAAGACTTTCCCATTCATAGAACCTTCCGAAATACAAGACACCGACTTATCAAACCTTTGACCTTCCAACCAAGAAATACAACCCAAGACAAGTGCAAAGACTACCTGATCGAACTGACTCAGATGATCCATAAGGAACACAGAAATCAATTGCCTCATAACTCTGTCATAACGATCAGTGAAAGAAAACAGGCATATGCATAGGCACCATATCTCAATCATAACTCTCAAGACAAGTTCACACCCTCTGATGGTGAACTTGAACACAACACCCACGTTCATCAACCGTCTAGTCTTCCAAGAGACTAAATAAAACATGCCGAAAACGTTACAATCCTCACCATCACTTCCCAAGTGATTCACGTCTGATGACAACCAATCAACCAAGAGGTTTAAGGGTCTTAACATCTTGAAGATGAACAGCAGATTACCTGGAAAACGCCCAAGGACAATCTGAAACCCTTCACAATGATTAACACTAGGTAGGATAACCTTATCCTCCAACTTGAATTGCACACCTGGAGCCTCAAACATCTGCTCCCCAGTATGATTTAATCTTTCACCCACAATATGACTCTGAAAGTCAACCCCACACTTGAGTGGAACATACACTTTTATCACTCGTGCATCAAAATTAACTGGATCTGAATATAGAGACACTGCTCTAGCATAACTCACCACTTCCTCAGAACTGGATGCACAACCTACTTGAGTAAACTCTCTCTGCTCACCCACAAGGCTTGACAAAGATGTCCCACAGTCCATTACTTCACAAGAAAATGGCTGCAGAATAAAAGTAGATTTCAACATCCTACACACACTCTGACTCAATGTACACAATGAGAAATACTTCCTCCACATAGAATAAGAATCACAACTCCTCAACTTAGATCCAATTGCTGCTTTACCACTCTTAATGATTTTACCAAAATTTCCTCCCATGACTTCTGGAGCTGCTTGGAGTACTGTCTGCTCACAATCAACAATATAACTACCAAGCTGGGTCACATCCTCACAGACAACTGAAGAGGGAGGCTCAATGGGTCTCCATCTACTCAACAGAAGCTGATCCTCTGGCTGCTTTCCCACACTCTCCAAAACTGGATCTACAGTACAGACTGTCTCCTTGCTTCTCTCTGAAATCTTAGGGTCAGTTCTACTCAAAGCACATAAATGAAGGGAATCTGAAGCGAGCGGGCAAGTAACAGGTAGTTTGACCTCCTCCCCTATTATATCACCTTGACTAGGGTGAGGCGGGGCCTCTACAACGGACTTACTCTCGACAACTGATTCTAAACTTGGAGTGAGCGGGAATACTTCTGCCAACCCGACATCTTGTCCTAAACCATTCACTTGGCTGGAATACAGAGTCGTGGCTTTTAAGTTTCTCTCAACTCCTGGCACAACGTTCGTAGTGAGCGGGCAAGACAATGGTACATGGACATCCTTTCCCAATTTATTGGAATAAAGCAGAGTCATAGTATCAGGCTTACTCTCAACAACTAAATCGGCCACACAGGAATCTGGAACAACCACATCCCACTTCTCCACTGAAGGGGTACTGGTTACTGGAACAAATGCTTGAGTAACAACATCAGAACTGACAACTGGATTTATATTAGTACTGACATCAGCACAGGTAGAATGGACAAAACCATCTTCTACAACAGGTTCCTTCATAGAACTAACTTCAGCACAGGCAGAATAAACATGGTCTGCAACTGGCTGTTTACACAAACGGGGATCAATCTCACCCACATCATGATTTATGGCCACATCATTACCCAATATAACATCCACACCTGGGATGGGCAACTGTGTACTAACACCCACAGTGCATAAACGTGGTGTAATGGTGGATCTGAAATTAATGTCTATTAGAGGTACAGTTTTACATCCTGCAACACTCTGAAGAACAACAAACTTTCCTGTCTCTCTCTTTTCCACATCAGAAAGAATACTGGATGAAATTATGGTTTGGGAAGCACCTGTATCACGAAGAATAACCACTGGCTTCCACTTTCCATTAATACACAAGACTTCACCTGAAGACAGATATGGTGAATACTGTTTCACCCAATTGGGGTTTACAGTTACATGGTTATTAGTAAGTTTATTTTGCACACCTCTGCAATAAATGAGACCAGTTGGTCGTAACTCAGGGTGCAATATAAAACATGAATGAATTCCATGGCCTTTTCTCTTACAATGGGAACAGGACCTTACAGTGGACACACTGGTAGAACCAACTGTAGGTTTAGAAATAGCATTACTAGGCTTAGATGATCCTGGCAATGGAGTAACCATCTTAGGGTTAGTAAGAGAAAAGTTCACGGGAGTAACTGTCGCACCAGGAGGAGACTTATACTGATAAGGAGTTCGGTGAGCATTGAAATTTACTCTACGACTAGACTTAGGTGAAGTGGCCGTAAACGGGGCCTTAGTCAGCAACTCATGCTCATCCGCGAGCTTTGACAGCTCATCAATATCGGTTACATTCTTTTGTTCTGCCATAAAAGTAGACAACTGGTCTGGAAGACATGACAATACTTCTTCCATTATAAGAAGATTCTTTAAAGCATCAAAATCAGTGACTGGAAGTGACTTTAACCATCTGTTACAAAATTTCGTCTTCTGACGAGTAAAATCGGCTATTGTCTGATCCTTGATTCTCCTTAGGTTCCTGAACTTTTGCCTGTGTGCCTCTGGATTTAGTTGGTATGCATTGAGGATGCTTTTCTTTACAAAGTCATAATCAAAACTATGAGCGTCAGGGAGGGATGTGAAAACCTCCTGACTACGCCCCTTGAATTGAGACTGCATAATGGCTACCCACTGATCCCTTGGCCAGTTCATACTGATG